CTATTATTTTACTACAGTATATACCGGTAATATTTATATTCAAACTTATGTGCTTATGTAAAGACATTTTATTCAATTGATATCTAAATTACTTAAATTTTATTCTAAAAAATTATTTTTAATCTAAGCATTATAATGATTTTATTAGAATTTTGTAATTAATTTGTAACTAAGCCCCTCTACTATACATAATTAGACTTTATTATACATTTGGATTTCTATTAATAATCTGTATAAATGTGAATTGTAGTAAATAAGCTAATAAATTTATTTTAATATTATTAAACAGGGGTATTTCGTAACACAAAGATTATTAAACAATTTTCTTTAAAAATATTTACTCTAAAATAATAAAATGACAAACTTCAAAATAAATAACTTACGGTCAAATATTATAAACAACAATTTACAGATTAACTAGGTATCAAATAAGTTTGAATCAAAATTAAATTATATTTAATTATTAAATGCAGGCAATAATTGTTCGCACAAAATTTAATAAATTAATTTTACTATTATTAATAATTAAAATGTTTAATTATTTTAATCATTGTTATATATCTATAAGTTATCAATGTGATCGTTCAAAAGGACGTCACTTTTATTAGGTGAGTACACAGCCCCTATAAAAAATTAACTAAATTGAATTGAATTGAATGAAATAATATTGAAGTTATTAGTATAATATTTTTAGTTTTTACAAATTTATTAGTGAAATATGTTATGTAATTATGTATTATTAGTACATAATTTATCTACCAATTTATAGATGCTTGGGAATCCGTAAACAATAAGTACATTGCTACAATTCATAATTCAAAACTAATTCTTGGAAATTAACTGTTATCATATTATGATATTATCTCTAATAAGTCTTAACAATTAGTATCTGTACCTAATATTATCAAATCTATGTTAGTTTTATCACATGTCACCACAATCATACTTTATCAGAGATAAACATAGTAGTTTAATAATATTGTAGTTTTTAAATTTCATATCAAAAACCATCTACCTATCATTTAATATTGTGCAAAAATTGCTATGAATGACTCTAATCATGAAACTCTAATGTTCATTATGACATTCCGATAATTACAGGTATACTGCTGATTAAACTTTTATTATGTATTTAAATGTTATTTTAAAGATTCCTTTACTGTTTAATTGGTTATAAATTTTTCAAACCTATTAATTTGTGAAATTCTAAATATGTTATAAAAATTATAGTTTTAAAAACTCGTGGCTTAAAACTTATTTAATGAATTTCTATAGCTAAATTCTATGGTTAACTCATTTATTTGAATATACCGTAAATGTGTTTAATTGGATATTTCATAACTAATTGAAAATTATATCTCGAATTTTATTTGAATCATAAAACACGAAATACTGGCATAAAAGTGAATTCAGTGTAAGTGACTGTCAGAGAGTCGATTGAGATTCAAGTATTTATATATGAAACACACATATGATTATTGTTTTAATTACAAATTAGAGGCCAAATTGACACCACCTTTTTCTTACCACTGCTAACCAACCAAACATTTGTAAAAGTAATAACAAATCGTTTTGTAATACTTTTACATTCGTTTCGTATATATACGCGATATTTGAGTGCCAGAATTGACTCAAATAACTTTTTCCAATAACTTGTTGAAATAACTTTAAACTCGCTATAATCAGCAGTAATTAATTTGAATTTTAAACTTTTTGTTTTAATGAAACTATACTTTTATTTGAGTTTAAATTCTTTAATCGATTGCCATATGGTTAAAGAACTATCAAAAACTTCTTAAATAGTCATTAAAGTAGCCATTAATATACAGTAATGGATAACAACATAGCGTTAAGAATGGATGCAAATGAGAACTATTTGAAGCCAAAGACACAGATATGGCTCAGAATATTGAGACGATCTTTCAAATTGATATTCGCTGTCATCATTAATATACAGTAATGGATAACAACATAGCGTTAAGAATGGATGCAAATGAGAACTATTTGAAGCCAAAGACACAGATATGGCTCAGAATATTGAGACGATCTTTCAAATTGATATTCGCTGTCATCGTTCCCATCGTTTTATTGCCCCTTCTATTCATTGACGACACCAGTCCTGTAAGTCATCTCATTTTCATCTCAATATTATTTTTAATTTTTTTGTGCAATTTTAAAAAATTAATTTTTGCATATTTTGGTATAGAATTTTTATTTATTAGTTTTTTGTGTAAATGGTATTTTATTATGAATTTTCTTAGTTTATTACTTAGGCTTAAATGAAATAAACTTTTATCTAAATGACTATAAATTTATAGTATAATTAATTATGTACCTATATAAATACTTTCAGTTGATATACCGTAATTTTTATTATTAAGTTTGGTTTAATTTTTCTGAGTTCACATTAATTAAATAATTGCAATAATTCATTCAGAAAATGAGATATTATAAATATTAAGTTTTATTTTAATTTCATATAAAATTCTTTATGAGATATTATATTATAAATTAAGATCAATTGGAAATGTTTCATATATCGTTTTCAGTGTTATATAATATGCTAATATTATCTATTATACCTTTGTTATATTAATTCTTATGGAATATAAAGTTTCAAAGAACATTTTATTGAGAATATTGAAGTTTATTATATGAATTAAAATATCAAATATACAATGTCTTTATGGAATATGAATATAATGTAACATTTAACACTATCATGTTAATTGTCTATCATATTATCATATAAATGATGTGATATTGACTTGAACTCGAAAATTATAATAACTTCAAAGTTCAGTAGAGTTTCACACAATTCCTGCCATAAAGATGAAATAAATGTCAATATTGTTTGCAAGTCTTATGATATGATTATTACTTTTCGATTCTTTGTTTTGCAATTTTGTTTTAAACATTTTCACACAAATATGCATATACTGTAATACCTGTCTATACATATAATTACATAATATAATACAGTACACAGGTAGAATTTTTTAAATATTGTTTATAGTTTGATCACAACCAAAGTATTTGTAATATTGAGACACTAATCAGAATGTATAGATTAAAAGTACACCAAAAAGTACACTGAGATTAGTCTTATATTGTTATACCTGTACCAAAATATATGCATAAGTTATTTACCCTTGTTATAATTTAAGACAGGGACAATTTCTCACAGTGAATATTACTGTATGAAATGCACACATTTTGAACTAATTATGATTTGTAGTGCATTGTATACCCTTTATTGCAGGTATTTCCTATTTTGAAAGGATTTGAATCGATAAAAACAATTTCATTCAAAACAAAAGAGTTAATGGTTTAAAAGGATTTCCAGAGATTTTGGGTCCTTTTAATCATTTTGCTTTTTCAGGTTATCGTTATAAATATCATAGACAGTGCCTAACTGGTAGTCTTAACAGTAAACTTCTTCAACAAAGTATTTCACAAGACTTATACAGCATAACAGACCAGTCGTATGAGTGCCAGGACTAGAGATAATCAAAAACTCTGTTTACTTACACCTAATTATAATTGTTATAAAATTCTTTATTTTATAATGGGATTCCGTTTTACAATGATTTTGCAGTACCTTTGCATATTAGATATGTTTATAATTTTAAATTATTTTTAATTCGTTTAATTTTTTAAAACAGAAATGATAGCAATATATTAATTAATTTGTCTTTTTACAATTAATTAATTACTTGTAGTCTTTTGATAGTTCTTATTAATTTATCGTTTTTGATATACTGTACTAGACTTTAAAACTAGTCAGAATTAATAGTATAATAATAACTTGAAATATTTAGTATTATATAATTAACAAATATAGAATATTCTATTTAACTTATTATACACTGGTTGATACAATAGGTATTGTTTTTAATATTATTTTATACTCTCACGCCATATGAATCAACACTTGAGAATAGATTGCATTCCTAATCACTGTTAACTGTTTTAAATATGGAGCAACAGTGTTTCAAATATTTGTTTTACTTTTTAAAAAAAAGTATATTAAATTATAATAAAACTTTTATTTATTGTATTAACTGTATGTCCATGAAAACTACTCCATGAGTACAATCACGGCCTTTTAATTAGTGCCACATATTTATTAGATTTTCATAATATTTATTTGTTTAAACATTTATATATGTAATTGATAAAATAAAAATTATTTATATATTGTTCAAATATTTATACAAAATACATATTTTGATGAGACTGGTGTGAACTACTTATACAAAGCCTATATCGAAGTGTATATCAAAAGCCTTCAAATGAATATATTTACAAAGTATATAAAAACTTAAACTTAAGATAACTATTAGGAATGACTTTATTTCGAAAATTTAAATCTCTTTCTATTTTAATTAAAAACTCTAAATAATAAATTATGACTATTAAAAATTAAAGTTTATTTACTAAACAAAATCCAAAGCGAATTAAAAATAAACTATATTCAGTTAACTATACATTAATTATATTAAATTCCGGTATTCCAGTAACTTTTTAAAAACATAACTAGAAATTCCGGTGCGCTTATGTAGTCCTTTTGATGGCATTGTATTGGATGGTCGAACCTATCAGTCTGTATATGACTGCACTGATCCCGGTGGCCCTCTACCCCTTACTTAATGTGATCAGGTACACTAGTCTACCACCATTACACATGTATTAATCTAATGTCATATTATTAAAACATTGAATCTATTGAACTCTAATTCAGTACATCAGACGTTTGTTCGCCATATATGAAGGTTAGACACGAGTCTCGAAATAAATTGCTATAAACACCAAAATGACCTTTCATGAAATCTGTTGATTTTATTATAATATTGAAAACCAGGCGACAAATATGATGTTTCTGGGAGGCCTAATGATGGCCATAGCCATAGAGCACAGTAATCTACATAAAAGGATTGCATTAAAAACACTTCTAATCATAGGAACCAGTGTTAATCGGTATAAATAAGCATGCAATGATTAATGCAATAAAACTGCTTTACTAATCAATATTAATATACAGAATAATGTTTGGCATAATGTTGGTGACAATGTTCCTATCCATGTGGATCAGTAAGTTTTAGGAGTCCTTATACTTTGGACACAAAGTACTCTTAACTAAAAACTTATGACATAATCATAATGATTGACAGGCAATACGGCCACCACCGCAATGATGGTGCCGATTGTGGAGGCGATGCTTAAAGAACTGGGTCAGTTTTGCAGTATCCATGTATTCATATTTATACAAATCAATAATATTTCGCAAATATCGATGAATGTGTCAAAATCATCGAAGGATTTCTATAATTAGATGATAACAAATGTTTCATATTTTTATGTGTCTGTCCTTCAAATGAAGTCTAAAAATTAATTTTTTCAACAAAATGTGTTAAATATCAGATGAATCGCCTGAAGCACAGCAAAAGCAATCAGATAGTGACAAACAAAAAAGGGCTACAATAAGGAAAGCCTTATTGCTTTCCATCTCATACTCGGCTAATGTTGTAACAAAATGTGTTAAATATCAGATGAATCGCCTGAAGCACAGCAAAAGCAATCAGATAGTGACAAACAAAAAAGGGCTACAATAAGGAAAGCCTTATTGCTTTCCATCTCATACTCGGCTAATGTTGGCGGAACGGGAACTCTGACGGGAACGGGTACTAATCTCGTGCTCCAGGGCATTTTTGAAGAGTATAGCATTTTTTTATGTTACTTATATTTCTTGACAATAACCACCTCTGACAATACCTCTACATTTACCACTAAATCAATAATAATTAAGAATTAAATTATCACCAATGTGTCCCATTATAATTAACTACCCTTTTCCCACTCTTTTCAGTGAATATCTGGTTTTTAGCCAAAAAAGTCATTTCTTATTAAACCCTGAAATTGATTAATTGATTGCTTTTACTAATACATTAGTTTTAATACCATTTACGACACTATTATTTTGTTACATAATTGTTGTCTTAATTCGTAAGCAATATTTGAAATTCTTAAGATTCTTAGGAATCAATAAATCAATAACTCTTACACGAAGACTATTACATACTAATTGTTTGTAATTGGTTTCCTATTTCTTTCGCAACTTTCATATTACAATAATTATGTATTGGGATAGTCTTAGCCAATACTTACAAAATAAACCCATTTATGCAAAACATAATATTAATAATTGAGTGAAGGTCTCGAGAATTAGCTATCATATGATTTTATAGCGTTAAATATTGGACGTGGGTTTGGGGTTGTCTTATTGCCCATACTATTACTTATATCATTATAAATGTCATTAAATTCTTTATTAATAATGATTTCAACTCTAAAGAATATACAACAAACATATTTAAAGTTATTAAAACACTCAATACTAGACATAAGTCTTATGTATAAAAATTTCAACCCAGAGATCAGTAAACTTCAATTTCTGTCTCATATTTTGTTGGTTTAACCACTGATTCTGATCTAAAGTGCTTTAGGAAATATTGAACATTATATTTTAATTGCATTAATGTGTGCATTATGTAGATAAACACAATACAGTTTATGCTTTCAATAGCAATAACTTCTTAAACATTTGATGCAACAAAACATTTCTATTTAATAAACATTTTAAGTCAATATTTTAAATGAAATTTTCTTATCTAAATTCGTTATAATTATTAACACATAGAGATTTGAATAATTTACATTCATACCATTATAAAATAATAACTTGAATTCTTACAGCTAAACTACGATGAACTAATACTGTACTCACCTTGTCCAAATTATAGCCTATACCCCCATAGTAAGGACCTAACATTTTCAAAATGGTTTATATACGCGGCACCGGGAATGCTACTCTGTACACTCGCCGCATGGATTTTCCTATACGTGGCTTTCATTAGAAAAAAGTTTGTTTTACTTAAAACACTAATTGACTTAAAAATACTCATATTTTATAATTGAAATTAACAGCAATAAAGTTTTGGATGACTCAAAGGATAAAGTTAGATCATTGATCCAAACAAAGTACAGAGAATTGGGCTTGTTCACGTGAGTTTAATCAAGACATTGAAAGTTTTACAAACAATTATTTATGAATAAGTAGCATTTAAAAACGAATTTTAGAATTTAGATGTTGTACCGTAATGTGAATTCTATATTGTCCAATGCACAAGGGTATACTGATAGGTTATAAATTCTGTACCAAAATTAGTATAAAGTTTCTACTATAATATAAACTAATCTCTGAGAATATGCTTCATACAGTGTAGAATGAATAAGTGAATCAAATGATTGAGACGGTTATAAGTTTGTTGCTAATAAACTACAAACATTTGGTCATAGATTTAAGGAGGCAGCCGTAACCATTCTGTTTGTACTACTGGTGCTCTTGTGGTTCTTCCGTCAGCCGGAAATAATCACGGGTTGGGCCGATGCCATCGATGGTAGTAAAGGCACTGTTAGTACACTTTATTTAAACATACCGGCGCTCACACATACAATCAAATCGACTGACAATTTACATTCAATTTATTGCATTTCAAAATCAATTCAATTGCCAACAGATAAAGGACGCGACGCCGGCTATCCTAATATCCGTTTTATTCTTCATAATACCGGCAAATCTGTCGCAATTCTATGAGGAAAGGGAGGGCAAGAAGTTCGAGACACTACTCGACTGGAAGACAGTGCACCAGAAGATGCCGTGGGGTGTGATCATCCTGTTGGGCGGCGGCTTCGCTATGGCGGAGGGCATTGAAGTACTGTCACAACACCGACATATATGAGATTAACTCTGTTTTTCAACAGCAATCAGGCCTTTCCGAGTGGTTTGGCGAACAACTGTCCAGTTTTAGTCACATCTCTCCGCGTGGAGCTATGGTTGCGCTGACAGTGATTGCGGCCCTCATAACAGAAGTGGCCAGTAATGTCGCCTGTGCTACAGTCATACTACCCGTTGTCAACACTTTGGTAATTAACTTATGTATTATACATCTGTTTAAATTGCAATTCAAACATAACTTATAAAAGAATACGTCTATAAATGATTCAAAATATATAACCCAAACGACTGAATAGGCACTTAATATGGGAGTGAATCCACTGTTGCTGATGATGCCGGTGACCATTGGAAGTGAGTTTGAGTGCCTTATTGAGTGAAACAAACTATTAAAATACAATCAATTCATTCATAGTTTCGTTCGCATTCATGTTCCCCGTGGCGACTGTGAGTCCATTAACAACAATATCTAACTATCGATAACAATGTCTGACAAACAAATACCACATTTCATTGCAAACCAATAGCCGCCGAACGCCATCGTATTCGAGGCCTTAGGGATCAAGACGTTTGAAATGGTATTGAAATATCGTAATTAGTTTTTATTAAATTAATCATTTCTTTCCATAAGTAATACATTTATATATTCTTACAAATTAATGATAAATGAGTCGATTTGCAGTCAATTGGAATCAATGATTTGGAATTGAGAATTGAATTGAAATAGTAATGTATTTACAGATAAAACCCGGATTAGTAATGAATCTGCTTTGCATTGGAATCGAATTGGCGCTAATCAACAGTTGGGGGCAATTATTGTTTGACTTAAATCATGTGCCCGATTGGGTCACAAACAACTCTACATCCACTTAATCATATCAAAACACATCATCGCGATCATCGTTTTTGTTTTAAATTATGTTTAAATAATTATAATTAATAAATAGTTGTTGTATTTTAAGTTTTAAAGTAAAAATGTATTATATTTGTTTTCCAATTCATTAATTAAAGCACTTTTCAAACTATTTTTACAATATTTTGAAGTGAGAATGAATGTCAACTCCAATGGAAGTGTGAAACTAATAATTAATTTATAATATAATGACATTTCGCTCGTAAATCAATACAAACAAAAAGGTATAATTTATATACGAATTACACGTCCGATACTATTAATGGCATTAAATTTTGAATCGCTTTTAAAATCTTAGTACCGAATCGATAGGTAACACAAAAATTAATGAATAAATCGAGAGAACAACAGATGTGTTGTAAACCTTATATTATGAATAAATTATTGAACCCATAGTGAAGACAATTATAACATGCAATCAATACGACCACCAAATCAAACGCCATATAAATCACTACTCATTGGTCCTAAAGAGGCGGAACACAAAGAGAGACCACAAACTCAGTTAACGTCAGCTTTCGTTACATCCAAGCCGTCATCACTCACTTTGCCGTCACTCGAGTCCTTGCTCTCCGATTCTTTGCGTCGGCGCTCCTCATACTGGCGCTCGTCTCGGGGTTTGGCGCCTCCGAAGATCGAGTCGCGCGTCTTAGTCTCGGCCAAGTCGTTGAGGGGCGCGCCCACCGAACGCGGCTTTAAGTTCAGACGCGGACGATTCGCCGCTTCCTCTTCCGTCAGCTCTTTGAACTCTTCGGGATTGAAGGGCGGAGGCCGTCGGTCGCGATCTCTGCCCCCAAAGTTGCCGCCATAACGGCCGCCGAAGTTGCGTCGGTCGCCGCCCCGATCACCGCTCCGGAAGCCGCCTCTGTCTCTGTCGGACGGCCGGTCGTAACCACTCCTTCCGCCGCCGCCGCCATCTCGGCCTCCGTCGAAGCGGTCGTTGCGCTCGTAGTTCCTGTCGTTGCGGTTGAAGTTATCGGATCCGCTGCCAGTGCGCGGTCGGTCGCCGCCGCCGAACCGGTTCTGCGGGGGTCTGTCGTTCCCAAAGCCCCTGTTGTTCGGCGGCCTTTGACCCCTGTCTCTGTTCATTCCACCCCTTTGATCGAAACCTAACGCCAAATATGAGTATTACTTATACGATAATCAGAGCACAGTTGGGATGGCATATACCTCCACGGCCTCCACGACCGCCCCCTTTGTCGTTTCGTCGATTTTCTGCGATATTTATTCTTAGTATATGTCCGTTGAAGTCCTATTCACAGAGAAAATGACAATCAAACGGATGTCACACACAAACAGATCCAAAGAACTAACCGCTCCGTCAAACTCGAGCGCCATTCTCAGCGACTCTTCGTCTTCGAACTCCACATAACAATAGCCTAAACAACGACAAGACATGAGTGTCACTCACATAGTCATAGTCATCACTTCCAGAGGCATACCTTTGAATTGATCCGTCTCTTTGTCTCTCACTAACCGAACTGATCTCATCTGAAGACATAAACACACAAAACACGAGTCAGTAAAACACACCGCGAGTGTAGTGGGAGTGACACCACCGCGTCGAGTGGTGCACCGCACCGGTGATACTGACCTTGAGTTTCTTAAAGATCTCGTCGATGTCTCCCTGAATCACATTTCGGGGCAAATTGCCGATGAAGACCGTGAAGGGGGGGTCTCGTCCGCCGCCACCACCACCTCCTCCGCCGCCAAAATTTTTGAAATCATTGCCACCGAAGTTGCGATTTCCTCCTCCGGATGGACCGAATCCACGACCGCTCCTGACGTACAGACAGACCACACGTTAACAACCATTTCAATCATTAATTGTCACAAAAATCAGTTCATTATAAGCCGTTTGGCAGACAATGAAAGCCCATTCAATGCATGGCTATTGTCTCGATAGAGATCCTCAAAAACACTGATTATAAGACATATCGAGACAATCGCCGGCACCGCACGGCTTGGGCGGTAGTGGGGAGTGGTTGTGGACAGGGATGCGATCGCGTGAATGTGCGGTGAATGAGTAAATCGCGTGAATACCTGAGCGCCTGATTGTCATTATATTGGTGTCTATTGGTGTCCGCCATTTGTATGCAATGGTGAGCACGTGTTGCCCTCAAGTGTTGCCCAACGATATAGTGATGCCCTCACGTGTCCGCACGATTCAAATCACAGCCACAACACTGTCACCAATCGGTTCCCAACACACGAGTGGATCAATTGATGANGGTGTCCGCCATTTGTATGCAATGGTGAGCACGTGTTGCCCTCAAGTGTTGCCCAACGATATAGTGATGCCCTCACGTGTCCGCACGATTCAAATCACAGCCACAACACTGTCACCAATCGGTTCCCAACACACGAGTGGATCAATTGATGAGCGAATGGATGGACAGGCAATGAATCACTCGATCAGCGATTCAATGAGTGATTGAATGCAGTGTTCAGTGAATGCAATGCACTGTAGCTATGATTCAAAGCGCGTTCACTATTGGCGTCAATACTTGAGCAGTCATTGTCTCTGCATTCGCTCTATTGCTGGCGTTTGTCTGCATTTATGTCCACTTTTTATGTGACAAAAGGCCCAAAATAATCGCTTTATTGCTGTCCCACTAATCAATGCATTCAATTAAATCATTTAATTCATGTATAATAGTGTTAAATGTAGTCAAATCTGTGTCCTATAGTCCAATGCTACAGATGTGCCCTATTGTCAGCGAAAGTTATACACATTTTCTGGTTTTAGACTTTTAGTGATGTATGATATGATGTGATCCCATAAGCCCTTCATATGTCTAACACCTGTTATCTATGATCAGATGTGCAGTGATAAGCCATAACCACCGCAACCCCTGTCCCCCCACTCATAGGCCTAACAGTTATGCAATTATTGCCGGCATTTGACGTGATTTGAAACCGCATATCAATTGTGTCCATAAATGATGTCCTAATAGCCAGACAGTGGGTAACTGTTGTATCGCATAGACTATAGTGTTGTGGGAAGTGTTGGGGGAGTGAGTAGTGGTTAGTGATCGGCGGACGTATTGAATGGTTTGCACCGAAAACCCAAAACACAAACAATAAGTGTCTGATTGTGTGAATCAAAAGTTTTTGTGACACAAAAGCCGTTGCGATGAACGTCTTCGGCGGCGACATCGACGGCCAATTGGACGCCAACTCACTGCTCACCGAACTGGACAAAGGGTTGAGGTCTGCGGTGGTGGGCGACCAATGCGAGGCCATCGTACGGTTCCCCTGGCTTTTCGAGAGATACCCGTTCCCTATACTCATCAACTCGGCTGCGCTCAAGTTGTCCGAAGTCTACCGCAACGGATCCAACTTTCTTCGCGTACTCGTACTGCAGGTGATGCGCGAGAGTGAGAAACATTTGGACAAAATCGTGAACATCGATGAGTTCGTGCGCCGGCTCTTCGCCGTCACCTATAGTAACGACCCGTTGGCGCGATCCATAACCCTCAGGACGCTGTCCAATATGGCGCGCATTGTCTCCCATCGCAAGTCCATCCATCACTACATCCGCAATAGTCTCGACTCCAATGATGAGATGGAAGTGTTGGCGGCCATCGAGGCCTCCGCCTCTTTCGCCGAGAAGTCCGACGAATTCGCGGCCAATATCTATCCGAAGATCTTCGCGATGATCAATGGGTTGACCACTCCGTTGGAGATCAAAACGAAACTGTTGTCAGTGTTGCATAACATCCACTTTGACTGCGAGGTGGCCGACAAAGTGCGCCACAATTGTCTCCAGATGTTGGAGACGTATCCGTCGGAGCCGTTTGTGTGCAGCGATTTGCATGTCTTGACGCACATCGCGTCCGTATCGTTGACTCAAATTCCCGATCAGATCCACGTATTACTCGATTACTTCACGAATGATCCGCGAAATAACGTAAAGCTCTCGGTTTTGTCGGATTTGAAGTCATTGGCCGCCAGTAGTCCTCATTTGTGGCAAAAGGAAAGCGCGTCGGCTTTGGTTGAGTCCATACTGAACCTGAAGGACAGGAACGGCGCTAAAAGCGATTCAAATATGTTATGCAAAGTGTTGTCCGTTTTGTCGGAGTTGTCGAGTTCGCCGACACTCTTCTCAGATGAACCGCAATATTACAGCGAATTAAGCGTTAAAATCATCAACTTTTGCATTAAAAGCGTTTATTGCGAGCAAAACATACCACTCATCGCCACTTGTATCAGCATTTTAACCAACATTTCGCTGAATCTCAGCTCGAAGTGTGTCTTAGATATGGATGTAATGCAAGAGACGTGTTGTTGCGTCCAATCATTCCTCCTGTGGGGCATCACATCTTCAGACAATAATTACACCGAAGAGGAGAGGAATGGCGTGAAGACTATATTTAAATGTATTCTCTCTTTGTGTCGATCGCCGAAGTTGTCGTCAATTAATCAAATGACAGAAACTCTTAGATTTGTGATAATGAATGTCAAAATGGATTCAATTTGGTTCGGACTCTCATCGCAAGTGATTTGCGCGATCGTCTCAACCCTTTCCACGAACGAGACGTTTGTCGGCGAAGACATCCTCGAGTTAATCAAATCGAGTCCCAAGTCTAACGACAGCCCAAACTTCTTGAACTTATTGACCATTTATTTTCAAATAAATTTACACAAAACCACACAAATCAACGAAACGGTGGCCAACACTTTGCTGAACTCATTCAGAGGGCGAGACCTCTGGAGCTGTTATAAAGTGGTTCGTCAGGCCATGCGTTACGGACAGCATCTGATGGCGTCTGCGATTCTGGAGCGACTGCTCGCGCATATGGAGCCCTTAGAAAGCGTTCACTTTTGGGTGAAAAGTTTGGCCAATATATCGAAAGCCGAGAGTTTTCTCATCAAGAATATCGACGATTTGGACAAAAACTTTTGCACTTCAATCTCGCTGTACATCGAAGGCCTGACTCACTTGAAAGCCTCCATATCTGTCAACAATCCCATGAGATTTCAGTGCGAGTTCGTGAGACTCCGACTCAAATACCTGCAAACACACCACAACTTCAGACAGTGCTGTCAACTGATCCGCACATCCCCTCCGCCGGCCATCGCCGCCTCCACGGCGTTGACCACAAGAGACGATCTGTTAAAGTGCGGGAATATAGTGATAGCGATGAGAAAGAGCGCCAAAGAGTTGCGATCCTTAGCCGAAGCGTACAGTTTGTTATACCAGACGTCGTTCAACGCCGACGTCAACACGTTAGCGGAAATACAATTACTGCAAAACAGTTGTGTAATACTCGCCGAAGCCATCGAAAACCTCTTCCAAAGCAATCGCTTGAATTCGATGATCGTCTCCAAAGAGAGCCCATACGAGGGCAACGCCGAGCTCTCGATGCTGTGCTCGCCTCTAGAGCACAGGCCTCTCATCCAAATGTGCGGCAAAATATCAAATATGATTCACAAAGACTTGAACGCCATTCAGACGAATGAGTTGATCGGAAGCAAACAGATATCACTTCTCCTGGAGATTAGTACTCAAGTACTTCGGGCGCCGCTCTC